GGGGGACAGAGCTCCCCTCTCCATGTGCTCCCCCTCACCTCTTTGAGGTCTCGCTGCAGCTTGGAGTTAGCTTCCTCGGCCTTACCCAGCTCGCGGTGAGCAGTGCCCAGCTCCTCCTCCAGCTGGCTCATCTGACGGCACAGCACTGCCAGGCGCTCCCGCAGCTGGCACACCTCTGCACGCTGGCGCTCCAGCGCCTCTTCCAGCTCTGCTGTACGTCGGTTGGAGTCTCCAATGGGACCCAGGCCATTGGCAAGGGTCTGGAGAGAAAGAGAAGAAGGAATAGAACCCAAAGTGGAGAGTGGGGTTGATCAGTCACCCCAGGGTCAGGGTATGATGAGGGGGAACCAAAGACCAGTAAAGACCTTGTAGACCAAAGTCCAAAGGGGTCTGTCACTGAGAGTCACAGAAGTTAGTTATGTGACCAGTAAGGCTCTTAGGGATTCAGATTTCATTGGGTCAAACATTAGAGACCACCAGAAGCCAATGAAATGGCTCAGCCATCAAGCTTGATGACCTGAGTTCAATCTCCAGGATTCACATTATGTAAGGATAGAAGTTGTCCCTTAGTTGTCCTCTGACCTCCACATGCTCACAGGCAACACCTCCCACATTATCACAGGTAAATGGAATAAGAACTTCTAAAAATAGTAAAATTCTCATTACAAAGTCAGGGAGTTACCGGGCATAGTGGTGTAGGCTTGTACTTTCAATGAGAGGCTTTCCTTGAGAGGCTAAGGTAGAAGAATCTTGAGTTGGAGGGTCAACATGAGCTTTAGAGCAAGACCCAGACTCACAAAAAAAAGTGGGCTAAGGATATGGTTCAGAAGTAAAGCCCTGTCTAGAATCCCTTAGTGGGGGGCTGGAAATGTTCAGTGGGAGAGCCCCTGCCTAGAATCCTCAAGTAAGAGATTGGGGTGCACTCAGTGGTAGAACAGTTGCCAAGAATGAAGCCCTAGATTCCATCATCAGCAAATCAATCAATCAATCAATCAATCAATCAGCGTTGAGTGGAAGTCACAGGGAAGTCACACCCCTCACCTGTCCATCCCCGTCCTTGCCTGGCTCCTCCAGCCCTGACCGCCTTCTAGATAGCTGATCCCGAAGGTTCAGAGTCTAGAATAGTCAGACACCAGAGCACACTGAGTTCCTCTCTAGAGACCCTGTGGATGTCTTCCTGTGATCCAACCCCAATCACCGCTTCCTTTGGAATACAACCAATCAATTTCTTAGTCCTCCACCAAGACCTGCCCCCCCCTTTTCCACCACACCCCCTACCTCCTGATTGCTCAGCTCCAACTCCTCCTCCAGCACAGCTACTCTCTCCAGTGCCATCCGCAGTCTTTCCCGGACCTGGGGAGGCGTGTGAGACACTATCAGACCCTGTAAGGCCTGGTACTGTAGGTCCATCATCCCAGCTATTCAGGAGGCTGAGGCAGAAGGATCCCGAGTTCGAGGTCTACTTAGGTTACAGAGATAAGACCCAGTCTAAGTCTGATAAACCTGCCCCTTAACACCCTGGGGAAGCTCTGAAGCCCATATAAAGAGCATGGAGTTCCAGCCAGGTATCAGGAAGGCTATCATCCCCCTGATATCCTCTGCTAGTTTTTTTTGGGGGGGGTGTTTTTTTGAGACAAGGTTTCTCTGTGGCCCCCTGGTTGTCCTGGAACTCACTCTGTAGACCAGGCTGGCCTTGAACTCACTAAGACTTGCCTACCTCTGCTCTCAAGTGCTAGGATTAAAGGCGTGCACCACCACTGCCTGGCTCTACTACTGTATTTTCATTTTTATTTTTTAGACAATATAGCCTGGAACTCTCTGTGTAGACCAGACAAGCCTCAAAATTACAGGATCTCCCTGACTCTGGCTTCTGAGTGCTGGGATTAAATAGTTCATATTTCTTTTTAATCAAGTTGTGTTCCAATCTGACACAGTAACGTTTTCTCAAATGTGAATCTCTCCAACCAATCATAGCCAGCTTTTCTCGTTCCCTTTTAATTCAGCTGCGGTCACCACAAGTTTTCAGCAATTTCTGATTCTCCTACCTTTTCATCCAGGGCCTTGTGGTGCTCAAAGAGGGATTTTAGAGCCTTAAGTACCTCCACCTCGGAGGAGACCCCTCCAGGGGATTGGGCCTGGCGTTTCACCACGGTCATTCGCAGGGAGCGCTCGTGCCTGGACACCAGGCACTCAAGGTGTTCCAAAAGGAGCTGGAAGGATAGGACACCGAGTCAAGGAAAAGAAGCAAGGGAGAAAAGGTAGGATCGAGAAAAGAGGTGACACGTTGGGAATACACAGAGGTGAGGGAAAAAAGAGACAAATAGCAGAGGTAGAGCTGAGGAAGGCATGATGCAAGGAAGCAGAAAGTCAGGTCAGAATAAAAAAGGATGGGAACACAGGAAGGAAATGATCCCTGAGGCTGGAAATGAGATGGAAAATTAGATGTTGGAAAAAGATATGTAGGTCGGCACCACCCTGTGCCCCATCCAGCTTAGACCCCATAGCCAGCCTACAGCCCTCACCCGGGTGTTGTTACGCTCCGCCTTCAGCTCTGCGATCTCTTCTTCTCTTTCTAGAAGCTGTTCCCGACATAAGTTAAGCTCTTTCGTTAGAGCCGCAAACTCCTGTCCAGGCGTGGGTAGAATCAGATAGATGGTTGACTCAATTATTCCGCTATTTCTCTCTTTGGGAGAATTTGAAGGCTCCGCCTCTCCTGGCTAGGCCCCGCCTCCTCCAGCCACTCATGATGGACCCTTACTATGTCCTGCTCCTCTAGCAGCTCAAACCTCGCCACTCGGGGCGAACCCGTCTCCCTTTTGTTGCTCTGAACCTATTGCAATGTCCTGATTAGGTCTCACCTCGTCTTGCTGCTCAGGCCTCTCTTTTACGGCTAAGCCTCAACTTTCTTGGTGCTCAGACCCCGCCCTTCCATCTAAGCCACGCCCGTCTCGGTGATAAGGCCCGCCCACCAACGGTAAGCCAATTCCATATTCCTCCCTGCCAGAGACGTCCGGCACCACCCCTCCTAGGCCACCTTCTACCCTTCTGCAGGCCCCGCCTTCCCGGCAAACCCTACTCTTCTTACTTCCCAGGCCCTGCCTCCTGATAAGCCCCACGGTTCTTGCCGCCCAGGCCCCGCCTCCTCAGTGAACCCTGATTCTCCCGCCTCTCAGGCCGGACCCTTCCTCTAGAGTCCCGCGGCCCCTCCCTCCAGAGCCCCGCCTCTCCCAATCGGCCTCTCCTCCAGGCTCCGCCTCTCTCAAACTCTGCCCTCCCATCAAGCTCTACCCGGGTGTCTTGCCACTCAGGCCTGCATCCTTCCAAATCCTACTTCTCAGGCCCGCCCATTCTATATAAGCCCGCCCATCAACAGCGAACCAATCCCATGCTTCCTTTCTCATGGCCCCGCCCATCCAGGACAGCCCTTGCCTCTAGGCTCCGCCTCCCTCAGGCCCCGCCCAACCTGAGGCAGAGCGATGCTGAGCTGACGCTGCAGGGAGTCCTTCTCGTGGCCGAGCTCACGCAGACGCAGCTGCGCTGTCGCCAGCCCGTCCTGCGCCTCTCGCAGCGTCTCCAGCAGGCGCTCGCGCTCCGTGAGCATCGTGACCATGAGGCGCTCCAGCTCGCCGCCCGCCTCGTCCGGGCCCAGCGCCGAGCCCCGCCGGCCATCCTCGCTGATGGTGGGCATCACCTCGCACATCATGACGGCGGTGCGGGCCTGCGGGTTCGCAGAGGGGGCAAACTAGCCTTGTCAGGGCTCAGAGGAGAACTGAGGCGCTGCTGGTGTGGTACTCCCTGGGGCCCAATTCAGTGATTGCACAGGGTAACTGAGGTCAGCCAAGTTGACCATGAAATGGGGAAACTGAGGTACAGCCACGTGGTGGGGAGGCAGGGTCACTAAGTGCTGGCCCCCAACAGCGGGAAACTGGGGCCTGTCCTTTGTAGTCATGGCATAGATAAACTGTGACTCCATTGCTCTCAGATAAACAGCGGGGACTTATTAGGTAAAAGCATTTTGGGACGCTGAGGCTTGGCTACGCCAGACACTGGTAGCAAACCAAAGCATGGCCACTGGGAGACCAGTCACTGGCTGAGTGGGTTAAAACTAACCTTGTGGCTCGGCTTTAATCTTCAACCCACTCCATAGATGAGGAAACTGAGGCCCAAACCAGAACCACACTTGAGAAATTCTTGGGGATTCAGATACTGAATTATGTCACTAGGCTGTGATTTGCCCATCTCTCTATTAGCTAAAGACCAACACTCCACTTGAAAGAATAAGAGTGAAAAACAGCACGAGAGCTGGAGTCATAGCTCAGTGGTACAGCACATGCTTGGCACAACGTGAAACTCTGGGTTAGATCCCCCATCCCAATAAAATACCCATTTATTAAGCCAGGCAAAGTGATGTATGCCTGTAATCCCAGTACTTGAGAAGTGGAGCCAAAAGGATCAGGAGTTCAAAGTCATCCTCATTTTTTATGGAATTCTGGGTCAGGCTGGGTTACATTAGACCCTTTTCCCAAAAAACAAAAACAAAACAAAAATGCATAACTGGTTGCCGGATTGAATCATTGCTTCAGGTCACAGGTGTCTAGGCTCCCCACAGCCCGTTGCCCCCTACACCTAGGTGTCTGGAACAGTCTCTTTCCGGGCCCCTCTTTACTCCTAGTGGCTCTAGGTCGCCTGAGGTGTCTGGAACAGTCTCTTTCCGGGCCCCTCTTTACTCCTAGTGGCTCAACCTGGCCTACAAGACCCATAAATCTAAGCTGTTGGACCCTTCTCCCCGCCCTCTCAGGATCTAGGCGTCCTGGGATGCTCCTCCAGCCCCGCCCTCATGAGGCGTTAACCAAGAGTGTGGGAGGAGGAAAGGGCGGGGTTAATAGGGCCAGAAGGCAGGACTTGGGTCCCCTGGTCTAGGGACCTGGAGGAGATGTAGGGAGGGCCAGTGAGCCTCTCCCTGGAATTCTTCAGGTCCAACAGGTCCATCTGGCCTGGCCGAAAGCAGGAGCGACTTTCACTCCCCCCCAACTCCCCCCCCACAGACACACCAATCCATGCAGCCACCTAACCGGTTTGAGATTGGATATTTCCCAACTCCACCCAAATGAGAACTGTGACCAAAGCCTTGGGTTCCTGTGAGAGGAGAAGGGGGTTGAAGGGCTCTGGAATACAGGAAAGAATGCAACTGGGTCCCTGGATCCCCTTTGTCTTTAAATGGTAGGTCTGAAACTCTACACGTCCCAGAAACTGAGTTCAGGAAAACGTTTATGAGAGAGGAGGACAACTTTAGGCTAAACCCCAACGTGGAAGCTCAAACCCACAATTGTCAGAACATACAACTTAGGATGACTTAGGTTTCTGTAGACCTCAGATTCACTGAGAATGCTGGAAAGATGGCTCAGCAGTTGAGAGTACCCCACTGTCTGCTCTTCCAGAGCACTCTCAAGGCATCCCACACCTGTATCTCCAGGTCCAGGGTTTCTGACACCCTCACACAGACATGCATGCACCAATGAACATAAAAGAGAGATAAATTACTAAAAGAGAGAAAGAAAGTGGACATTCAATGTCACCAAGATGCTACATAATGCAGAGAAGACTAGATCTTCCACACTGAGCATGTGACTGAGGGCAAGAGCTCTCTCTCTCTCTCTCTCTCTCTCTCTCTCTCTCTAACTAGAGGGCCCAATGCTACAACTGAGGTCTGGAAGGTAAAACTGGCCCAGAGCAACCTGATAACATGAGTAGATGTCTGGGCACCCAAGAACCCAAATCACAGAGGTGAGCAAGATGACACAAAGCGTTGATCTGATCAAAAGTCAGAACCCATAGCTCAGAGTTTGCTCAGCTTGAATGCATGAACACAAGATATGAACTGAGATCACAGCTGATCCCAGTTGAGGTAGGAGGATTGCAAGTTTAAAACTAGCCTGATGAAATCCTGTTCCAAACACACACACACACACACACACACACACACACACACACACTGTGGCATGTGTGCAGACATTAGAAAAAAAAGTGTAGTTAACAACAGAGAGATACAAGAGATTCCCTAATGGGAAGGGCAGTGTTCAGGAAACAAGAACATTTTGAGACTGGAAAGGAGAGAGTCTAGAACAGACATAGAACTCCAAAGTGGCAGATGGAAATGGAGGCCTATGCTCCACCAGGGACAAATCTGACACTAAAGCTAAGGCCACAGTAAGGACAAGAAAAAAGCCAAGAATTGAGGGGATGGGTAGCTAAAACCCGAGGTTTGAAAAGATAAGACTCTCTGGGATCTTCCAGGTTTAAGACTGTGCAAGCTACAGGGGCTGGAGAGGTGGCTCAGCAGTTAACAGCGCTGACTACGGGGAAGCCCACTACTGTCTGTAACTCCAGTTGCAGTGGACCTGGCACCCCACACACAGAAAAAACACCAATGCACATAAAAATAAATAAATCACTTTTAAAAGATTGTGCAAGCTAGAGTCCATAGCACAAGTCCAAAGAATGCTAGAGTATTTCATTGAAAACACCATATTCTGTAAGTTAGACTACCCATGGGATGAGAAGGAAATCTAGAACAAGGGCAGACATGGCCAGAAAATAAAACACATCTAAGATGAAAAGTCAGGATAGGTTATTTCAGGGGTGGGAGTTGGGCAAGATCTTTTTTGTTATTGGTCTAGTGCTAGGAACCAAACCTGGGTCTTGTGCATGTGAGGCAAGTGCTCTACCATGGGAGCTACACCCCATCCCCAGTAGCTACAAATAGAGGACATGTCTGAGGAGAAGGCTGAGAGCAAGAACTGGCATAGGGATATTATCTAGGTATTTGAAAAAGATCAGACAGAAGAAAAAAAAAGGAGGAGACGGAAAAGGAGAAGAGGAGGAGGAGGAGAAGAAGAAACAAAAATGTGACCAACAACATAGTTTGGTCTCTGCCAGCCTGGGCTACAGTATGGCAAAACCCGGCTTGTTGGGGATGGGGAGGAAGCAAGTGGAAAAAGACATGCCTAGAATTTATCACGTGGTATAGAATGTAGATCACGCCTTGGTGAAGACGGAACAGATGTATCATCTGGAAATGTTCTGGAACTTGGAATCTTGAACATAACACAAGGAAAGGAATCATTATAACTAGAAATGCAGGAGGATGGCTGGTAGGTTCCAGATTACCTTATGAACCCTGACCACAGAACACAATTGGAGGAAGGAATGGTTATTTGGTACTTGGAGTATGGGTCTCTACAGGCAATGAGATGCCAGAAATACACCAGTCACCAGCATTAGTGGGAGTGGAGACTCTGAAAGTCTAGCACCTGAGATGACAGGCAGGTGAGTTCATTAAGGCCACAGAAGATATGAAGTTGATAGAATGATGAGGCCACTAAGACCTAAAGATGGGAGTGCAGTGGAGAGCCTGGGTCCAGACCTTTGAATCCACGTGGAGGTGGAGGACAGGGTGTTAGAGACTTAGAACCTGAATATTTGATGAGCGTGTAGGGCTAGGCAGGTGGTCTGATGGTCGGGACAGCTGCCACAGTCTGAGATTCTGGGTCCATGAGATGTGTGTGTTTGAATGGATGTTACAAGATGGGGTGAGACACCTAGATCTCTCCGGGGGAAGGAGGACAGAAGCAGAGGAATTGTATTCCAGATTTCTGAAGGGAACTCACGGAACCTGAGTCCTTAAGGCAGCAAGCAGGTGCTGGTGTACCAGGAGACTAGGCACATTTGTCTGAAGGGGCAGCAGGGGTGGGGGGGTTGTTAAACTAGGTGCTAAGTGGAGTGGGGTGGGCAAAGGCTGGGAATCAGGATTCCCCAGGTGCTGAATAGGGTGACGGCGATTACACAGGGCCAGCAGATGTATGGGCACTAACAGCCTTTCAGAACCAGGTGGGATCTAGAAGCTCCATACCAAGGTCTCTAAAGTGGCCTGGGTATGGACATTCAAAAGCCCTGACTATGAGTGAAGCAGCTATAGTCTCGGAAAGCTAGGGTGCCTAAACATGGGCCTGAGAACCTTGAGGCCCAGCTGGGGGGGGCGCCGGGGATCCCCAGGTCAAAGGCGCGGCGGGAGGAGCCTCACGCCGCCCGCAACCCCTCCTTGGCGGCGGTAGCAGGAGATGGGGGAGGCGAAGCTACAGAGAGAGCTGACCATGGACAGCTCCGGCGCAGGCCTGTTTCCAAGGCGAGCCGGCCTGGACCGAGGAACGTTGCCGGCTGTTCCAGCCAGAAGGTGGGGGGCGCGAATAGGGGGACGATTCGGACGCAATAGAGGTAGCTCCACAGCGATGACCAGTGCCTGGAGCTCCCAGGACTGGGCCCAGAGGAGGGAATCTAGACTGAGGGGTCCCCTGGGCTGAGCTGATCCAGGCCCTGGAGGCAAAAGGAGGCAACCCTTCTGAGATACCAGGGTTCGGCTGGGGACTCTGGGCTCCGAGAAGGGACACGCCTGGCTCTCCTGGGTTGGCTTGTGAAATCTAGACTCTGGGTTCCCTCGGGATATAGATGGGAATGCAGGATTTCGGGCAAGCGAGTGGGGGAGGCTAGCCCAGGGGTCCCCGGGGTGGGCGCTGCCGGGCAGGCTGGGCCGGGCTCTTACCTACCTGGTCCGCGGCGACTGCGGGAGGAGCTGGGCTGCAGTAGGGACGCGGGGTGGGGTAGGGGCACCGGGCGGGGCCCCTGGCGGCGGCCG